GGGGGGAGGACCAGGGAGGATGATTCAACCACTCAACCACTAGATGTCGCTGAAAGCAACAAAATCCTACACACTGTGCCTTTAAGACACCATCGTCAGATTGTGCAGAAATATAATGTTTTCTTTTGAGAATTTTAGAGTTTTTTTCAAATATGGAAACAGTAAATAAAATTTTAAATGGTTTAGCGCCAATCTGTTTGCAAAAATTTGTTTATTATCGTTCAGCTGTTACTTTGCGCTTAACCAGAACATCCAGGCAGAACTGTGAAGTTCCTTCTCGGCGCTCAGCCTTTGGTCAAGCAGCTTTTTCAGTTAAAGCCATCGCTTAGTGGAACGCTGCTCCAGATCATGTAAAAAACTGTAGTTCTTTTATTTGTTTTAAAAATAATCTTAAAAAATATCCTAAATCTACTCAGTGTTGCAATCATTGAATTGTACTGGGTAATCGATTTTAGAGTTTGCTTTTGGTTTGGGGGAGTTGCGGGGTTTTTGTTAAAAAGTTATATCACTTAACATTCAACAAAAACCCCAAACACAATTAAAAAGTTACATCACTAAACATTCAATTGTGTTTGGAGAGTGGGGTGGGGTGTTTATGGATTTTTATTGTTGATTGTAAAATGTTTTATATTGTATTGTTTTTATTTTTCTGTTATTTTCTTTTTGGGGTGGAGGTGGGCATGATTTTATGTTTGGAGAGTGGGGTGGGGTGTTTTATGTATTTTTTAAATGCAAAATGTTTTATTTTATATTTTAATTTTTCTGTTTTTTTCCCTCTCATTTCAATTTTACTGTTTGATGGGACTACAGATGTAAATTAGCCTTAGGCTAAATTTGGTGCAATGCATGAAATTATGTTTTAATTGCACACTGTCCCGAACAAATAAAGTCATTCATTCATTCATTCATTCATTCATTCATTCATTCATTCATTCATTCATTCATTCATTATTCTTATTAAGATCATTTTACTAGTGTCAGCATTTAAGACAAAGCTCATTCTTCACGAGTTGAACGCTGACAGTTTTAATAAAATAAAAATATAATAATAGGACAAAATGGAGGGTCAACTTAAAACTGGGTCCTGTTTCTAAAAGAAAAGACATTTAAATCTATGATAAACCTGTTTATATACATACAGCGATCACATCTTTTTATATGTTTCACATAAATAAATCATTCAAAAACTAAAAAATGTGAAAAATGTCACTGAGTCATATTGAATTGGTTAATTAAAAAACATAATCAGTTATCTAATGATTCCTTTCAGAGCAAACTGTCCAAATCACGCAGTGGTTCGGGAGATAATTTTCAGTTTATGTTAAAGTTTTAAAAAGCATCATTACAGAGTTAGTGCTCTGAGTGTGTGTTGGGAATCAGCTGCAACTACATCAAATCTCAGCTCAATAAATATAACACTGGATGAGTTACAACTAATGTTTTCTACAGTTGCTTAGCTGTGGCGGCCATCTTGGATGGGGTTGACTTCAAAAGTTAATCAGTTGTAGATATTTATTCACACACATACACACATACACACAAAGACACACACATCAACATGGGAAAAACCCTCCACTGAATGGTAGTAAATATCAAGTAAAACCACAAAGTCAGCACACCCGTGTAAGTGTTTGAAGGTGGACAGAGTAATAGTAGTAGTAGTGGGAGGAGGGAAACTCTAGGCTGTGTCCAAAACGGCAGGACGGGTCCTCCGAAGGTCGAATTTGTCAGCCGCATACGTCACAGCGCCGCGACGAAGGACGTCCAAAACCAAAGACTCCTCCGATGCGGCCGACAAATACGTCCTTCCTTTGGTCTGACTTGAAGGACAGGTCTGATGATCCTTCCCGGCCCAGCATATCCCATAATGC